ACCCACACCCAGAGCGCTTGGCACTATGGGCCTGGCCCGTGAGTGGTATAACCTATATACAGTGGGACTCCCTCAGAAGGTGATAAACACTATTCAGAGTGCAAGAGCTTCCTCCACCAGGTCCCTCTATGACTGTAAGTGGAGGGTATTTGAGGAGTGGTGCCTTCAAAAAGGACACATCTCTTTTCAATGTCCTGTCGGGGTGATTCTATCATTTCTACAGGACCTGATTGATAAACACAGAGCTTTCTCTACGATCAAAGCGTACCTGGCTGCTATTGCTGCATGTGGGCTTTGAGGGAAAGACGGCTAGCCAACATCCCTTGGTCTGTCGTTTTATGAAGGGGGCTCGCAGGCTCCTCCCTGTTTCCAGGTCACTGGTGCCCTTATGGGACTTGGCAGTGGTTTTAGATGGGCTCACTCGACTTCCATTTGAACCCCTTGAAGAAGCTGACATGAAACACCTGTCACTGAAGACAGTGTTGTTACTGGCTCTGGCATCTGCCAAGCGAATCAGTGACATTCATGCGCTCTCTGTAAATCCTTCATGCACTCAGTTTGCCCCGGGGCAAACAAGAGTGTTGCTGAAGCCCAACCCTGCCTTTGTACCTAAGGTGGTTGGCTCATGTACCCCCATTGGCATTGAGGCATTTCCTCCGCCACTGTGTTCCTCTGAGGAACAGCGGCCGAATTTGCTGTGCCCAGTCCGTGCTTTACGCACCTATATGGACAGGTCAAAAGAGTTTAGATGCAATGACCAACTCTTTGTATCCTGGGCTAACCCTCATAAGGGCAAGCCCGTTACATGGCAACGGCTCTCCCACTGGATTGTGGAAGCGATTGCTCTGGCTTATACGAGTCAGGGTTTGCAGGCACCAACGGGCCTGCGTGCTCATTCTACTCGTGGACTGGCTACATCCTGGGCTTTGTTCAAGGGTGTTTCCATCCAAGACATTTGTGCAGCAGCGAGCTGGTCCTCACCACTCACTTTTGTCCGCTTTTACAGGCTAGATGTCTCTGCTCCAAGTGTGGCCCGTGCAGTGCTGGGCCCCGTGTTGAGACAGGGTTCTACCTGTTAAGTTCTGGTTGTTTTTGGTGATTTTCGAGATAAGCATGTCTAGCAATACGGGAGTTTCAATATCCCATAGTGAGACATCGAACGGAGTGTTATGAATGAGAACTATAGGTTACTTACGTAACCCCAGTTCTCAGAGTAACATGAAGTGAGATGTCTCACCAGACGGCCCTTCTTGCTAAGGCGAAGCTAGAAGAGGTGCTTATTTTGAATGACGCTGCGACGTAGCACAAGCTACTTAAAGGGTGGGTGGATTCCCTGACGTAGACGTCAAGATCACCAGCCAATCAGGATTGGCGTAATGAGATTGATGCTTCTGTTTGCATACGCGTTGAGGCGCATCCCATAGTGAGACATCTCACTTCATGTTACTCTGAGAACTGGGGTTACGTAAGTAACCTATAGGTCCGTCGGTTATGTCCTGCGCGGCTCTGCCAGCACCCAGTTCAGTCAGTCACAGAAAGTCCGAAGAGTTTTTGCAGGCAGCAAAACGGCAACGTAGCCGCTTAATGTCTTTCTTTTTTTTTTACATGTCTCGTAGTTTACTCCATTGAGTGTTGACAAGAAACACGTGTAGACGAAATATGTGTTTTGTTTTGATGTTTTGAGGTACGCAAAGGCGCGTAGTGACACAAGTGACGTTACGCAATTCAGATTTGTGCCGCGCATGCTTACCTGTGTTCCAGTTATGTAAACCCCTGGGTATAAATATCATCACTGTACGACCAAAACTCACGTCAGCGAAGCCAGGAAAGACAACACACAACTTCACTTTACGGAGCCAAAACGGCAAATACGTCTTACCTTTGCTATTTTCTGATCAAAAGTTGCGTTCAATGGCATTAAAACGCATATAAACGCTGCTGAAGATTAATCCAATGTCTCTGTGTCACTTTGAAATGATTACTGATAATCCATCATATAGGGCTGCTCAATTAATCGTATTTTAATCGCGATTACAATTATGGCTTGCAACAATTACGAAAACAACGTAATCGAAATAAAACGATTATTTTTTTATTATTATTATTTTTCAGTTGAATTATACTTAACGTTCAGGGTAATCAACTGTTAAAAACATACTGTTCACATTTTTTTTCTCCAATAAATGGATATTTTCAAAGTCAATGAATAATCGCGTTTAATAATCACAATTACAATTATTGACCCAAGTAATCGAGATTATGATTTTTGCCATAATCGAGCAGCCCTACCATCATAACATGGCAATAAACCTAGTTTTGATATAGAGCGTAACTATCATTTAAATTTGCTTACTATGTTCAATCTGAATTTACTTTATAAAAACATCTATTGATTCTGACTTTTCTACATCCAACTCACAGGTGTATCATTGCTTTGAGAAAAAAGATTATTAATGTACCCCTTTTAGAAGTGAAGATATGGTCATTTGTTCTGGGAATGTCATTTTCGAGCCTGAGACCTGAAAAACAGGCTCAGGGCTTAACAGGTTGACAGAGGTACAACATTAAATGAGAAGTACGGTCACTTTTTCAGACTCCTATACAATCTATACTTACCCTAACCCTACAATAAAGTGCAGGTTTGCAACTTATGGAGTTTCAACTTCAGGCCATTATAAACATTTCAGGTTTGGAGGCAACTCTTTTCAGATCTGAAAGCTACATCCTCTTCTTTCTTACCGTCAATGGTTCACACTCATATTTACTCTAGGAGTGAACAGAGAAACACATTCTGTCATAAATCCTACATTTTTGACTGGATACCTGCCAGTTTCCAGAGTATGTGTGCCTGCCTCCCAGTATGACAATGCACGTACACTACTGGAGCCTCGCAGCGCGGCGAAACAGTGGCGCGCTTACACTGTTGGTGCGCCGCGTTTGGGGTTGCGGGGGGGGATGCGGGTGCATAGCCGCGGGAAGTAGGGGTGCTGGGGGTGCTGCAGCACCCCCTGTTGGCGAGTGTTGTACATTTGAACAACTGAGTGACCACCTAAATAAAAATTATTAAACTACATAAAATAGTTATGATTTTCCTTAAAATAAAATTAGCTGTATACAGTATCATATAATAGTCATAGTATATATTTCTATCAGTCCGGTGGCTTGAATGTATTTTCCAAATAAATAAAATCCGAGTCATCTAGGTCGTGGGATAGTGACGTAATTGACGCGACACACACACTGCAGAGTCACTGCAGAGTCTAGACTAGAGCATGGTCTCTAGAGTGACTCCGTGAAGGTATTTCATGTTCGGGGTCATTTGTTTTTTGTATAATCTTGCTTCGTGCAAGTGACAATTGTTGTTGTCTTCTCTGTGAACGTGAAGTGTTTCACAATCACTACCACGTGACGCATCTGAACGAATCACGTTGTCAGAAGTTGACACCAGCCAATGAGATTTCGTTTCTTGGTTTAAGACCCTTTTGTACTTTCACGATTGGTTGCTGATACAAAGGAAATGACCATATTTGGATCCAATGAGATTGTGCAGGAGAGACAGACCTTTCCAACGATATCTCTGATGACATGGTGCAAACAGCGGTCATGGTACTTTATGTTACGTTAGAATGCTAACTTTTGGTGAATTTAGGAGAAATATACAGATGCAAATAGACAAACTATAGTAAAATAAACACTTAAATGTGTATTTTGTACGTTTTCCTTCCAAAAGCCTGAAAGAAAACATGTTATGGAATCAAAATAGCACAACATCTCAAAATTGACAAGTGCATGAAAAACGATGTTTTTGGCTGCCTTGTCCCTCCTTTAAACAAACAATTTAAGCAACTCGTATCGCTGACAGCCGTGCCCGGCCCGGCACCGCTTTCAGCGGCCCCCCTCCCCACTTTTGGCAGCACCCCCTGAGCAAAATGACTTCCCGCGGCTATGTGCGGGTGCTAGTGGAGCCTCGCAGATGGGGCTGCAGCAGCCCCCTCAGCACCCCCCCTCCTTCCCGTGTCCATTCGTGATGCCTCGCTGTCTCGCAGCAAGCAGGAATCCACACCAGTAAGCCAGCTCACACTGTCAGCTCCTCGCAGCAGCGAGTTGACCAATCAGAGCACACTGGGCTCACAGGGAGGGGGGGCAGGAGCTCCAACAAGGCGTTTAGGACAGAGAGTGAAATTCAGTGAATACACATACATTACAGAGATGCTGTATGAGAAAACAATGTGAGTTTGGAAAATTGCACAATGTAAATCTATTCTAGTAGACCTCAACAATGGAATTATGATCAGTAGAAATGGCCATGACATGGGACCTTTAAAGTCATGTCAGACCCAGTCATTTGTGGATGTGATCCCATGTTGGGAAACAAAGAGGCACTGGGTGGGATTGGCTACCACACACACACAGATATACACACACTAGCAGACATTGTGACAAATATTGACATTGTAAAGAACAGAAGTGAAAGTCTTTTACTTTCACTTTTCCTCTATCTCTTTTTAAGAATTACATTTGCTCCTTTTTGTTTTTCCCAAAACTTCCCACATACACACACACTGAAACATACCCACACACTAAGGATTACAGTATGGTATGGGCGGGAACCACAAGGATTATTACTGGAAGACAGTTACACAACCAGAACAGAAGTTCAAGAGCCAAAGGGAGTTGAGAATGGATGTGGCCAAAGTCGTGAAATACAAACTATGTCTGTCATTCACGATCCTGTCATTATTACAGTCCACTAACCCACGAGCCATAACTTTGTTTTCTTGTATCTTTCTTTGAAAAGATTTGGGGAAGTCCAACTTTTAGTTTTCATCCGTCAGATGGAAGTGTATGGAGGTTTAACCAAATGAAACGCTTGGATGAAGGTCAAACAAGGTTTCCCTTGCATTGTTTGAGATGAGGCAGCACCACAAACTGTGTCCCAATGTCTGATACTGTGTCAGGTTTCTAACTGAGTTCCATTCTTATTTGTTTTGTGTGCACAGGGGGGGAAGGGAGAACCTCACGTCTTCAAGGAAAAGACCTTTAAGAAGAAGCGACAGTGCAGCGTGTGCCGACAGAACGTGGACAACGTTGGGTCTTTCTGCAGAGGTAAATGTTGCAAGCATGTGTTGTCATCATTTTTACAGCTTGGTCTCTCACAACTGCAGTTAGTTACTCTAAAGGACCAAGAGGACCAATATTAGGAATTGATTTAGCGATTTTCATTGCCAAAATATTTCAGATTAATGATGGTATCCAAAATGATAATCATCAAAATGTGCTTTAAACCTGCATGAATCACATTACCTTTAATTGTTTTTATTCTTGCATCACATATAGTAGGCCTACACACTATAAAATCCAATGGAAATGATAGTTGAAACTTCGAATTGAATCCAATTTACTATATACTATTTTTAACATGCATTTCTTTATTTCCTTTTAGTATGCAAGACAGCAACCCACAGAAAGTGTGAGGCAAAGGTAAGAATCCACCCACTTGAGTTTTTTGTATTGAACCCAATTGTATTCCTTAATTACCCACTATACAGTTAATTTCCATGTGGGTTTCTGTAAAGTTGCACATATTGCACATTTTCTTGGTGGACCACCTATGGCCTCCAAATTACAAGAGGAATCAGTTGTGATAGAGTTGTAGACAGCATTGAAAGTGATGTTGCTCATTTACCCAAATGTGTAATCTCTTGAATACAAAGTCAGTGCCAGATGTTGGCATTGACTTGTTGGAGGGTCAGTTCTCATGACATCCCTAGTGTGAACACAACCTGCTCTGTAAGAGGTCAAATGTGCAGTCATCGTCAACCATGACCCTACTAATTCAAGGTTAAGCCCAAATGCTGACCCTCTAATCTTTCTTAATCGGGCTGACCACTGGGAGGTATCCATCCTTGGTCATATTTTCATGTGACTGCCCTAGACTGTCGGAATAACATTTTAATGGTTATCCAAACAGCTTAGTACATTGTTCTGCTCGTGAGGTGTGAAAATACATGACAGTCGCTCTTTGAGGGCAGAAGTCTCAAGATCTCTGCCAACAGAAGACCGCTCAGTTGCATTCCTCGGAAAGAGCTGCAAGCCTCGCCCGCACCCACAGTGCTGCCTCTGTGAAAGGAACATTGATGGAGCGGATGGTGTAATGAATAGACAGAGAGGGGGGAATGCTAGCCATGGCCAAAGCGATGAAGAGGGGGTAGGAACGGGGAGCCTTGGCTGGCAGCGGGCGAGAAAGAAAGCTAAGGGTGAAGGCATGTGGCAAAGACAAGCCTCATTCCTCAAGCGTTGCCCCATCCTAATGTCTATTATCTGAAGGGAGCCATGAGGATGAGTTCAGGGATGAAAGGATGGCACAAGCAATCATAAAGTAAAACCAGGGTTTTGCTAGACTTGTGATGTAGGTTTGTATTCTTGCTTGATATAAAGTAAGGTAGATATTTCTGTTTTGCAATGCAACACATGTATTGCTTTTTATGTGTCATTTGACGCCTCAGCAACATGAGAAGATTTGAGCAAATACTTCTGAAGTCAGGGGACATAAAGAGTGTCTCAGTGTGTCTCATTTCTTCTGAATTGATCGACCAGAACGTCTGGGCTGGGAAATCTGATTGGAATCAATCCAACACCAAATATGGTTTGAATCCAATTTAGCAAAACATTTGCATTTTAACCGTTTTTTTTTTTGCTATACAGAAATGTGGATACAGTCTGGATAGGACAACAACCAGTTTGGCTGGTGGTCTGAACAGGACCTAAAAGGCTACAACCATGTTATCAGAACATCTTATTTTTCTAAACGTTATCTTCTTTTGGAAAGATAAAACCTGAAAATGGTTAAAGCGAGCTTATTGTGAAAATAAATTTGGATAAACTGAATGCCTTGGTAAGACTGATTACAGAAAGCAACAGGGTGTTGTTTATTAGCCTTTCTGTGACTGTCTCATGGTGTTTATGGTTGTTGATTGGTTGTTAGATTGTGATATCCATCGTTGCTTCCCAGGAAGGGAGAGGTCAGATAAGGCAGGGTGGGGGAGGATCTGGCTGATGTGTTCATCCCGGTTGTTATCTAACCTCATGTGAAGGGGGGAGTCTAAGGAAGGATGGATTTGGGCTGGCATCTATCTGTTACACTTAGAATTGTAAAATGCATAATAAATAGATCTGAATAACAGATCCCAGCTGTCTGACTGCCTAGCTAATTAGCTTTAGCCCTCCTGCTACAGAGAATGACCACTTTAGTGCTGTTAAAAGTCTTATTAGTTCAAGGTGTTGCTCACTTGCACCTGATTTGCATTTGGGAGCTATTACCTTGCATATTAACCCCTTTTGTGTGCAGTCACACATCTGGATATCAGCCCTCTGTCATCTGTAAGCCATCCTGTTCTCCCCAGGCTTCTATTTACAAATCCACCGCTGTCTTTACTGTAAAGCTGGTGACGAATCTTTCATTATACAACACTGTCTAGAATCCTGTCAGCTCCGGTTTTCTGGAAAAACCCTCCTACAGAGAAAAATGTGTGATTATTGGTGGTCTTGTTTTGTAAATGTTATGTGTTTTTGTTCCCTTTTTTAACTATGTTCCCATCTCTTTGCCCCCATGTCAACAGCCCCCAGCTGACCCATCTCTGTTCTATAAAAAACAGACTCTCTCTCTCTTGCACTCAAACAAACAGAAGGCCCTAAACTGTTTTTATTTCAGCATGTGCTTCTCTAAGAGAACAGTTCCTCTTATCTTCCTAACCCAAGTGGAACATCTAGTCAACAGGGAATTTGGGGGAGAGAGGGAGAATGCCCGGGGCCAGGGGCAAAGAGATGTGGGGAAGGCCGGGAAAGATACAGAGAGGGGGAATGTGGAACAGTGGGAGAAGAAGGGATTAAAATGAGTGAAATGCAGTCCGTGACAAGTTGACTGGCCTGTCTGTCTAATTAGGGAAGAAGAGGCCTTTCTGCTAGGCGGGGGGAAACCGTTACTGACTCCATGTACTGTATACGCTGATCGGCTGACTGTTGCCCTTGAATAGGTTTGAGTAGGTTTGCTTTGAGTTTCATCACATTTTATTAAAAGCTTAAAAGTCATCCAGATTCTGAGTTTATTCAACATCGTCCACTGTGCTAACAGAAAGGTTTTAGGAAAATATCCAATTGCAATTTCTGCCATTGATTTTGCAAGTGCAATTGAAGTTGTGATGTTGTTTTCTATAATTTGGTTAGGAATTGTCAAAATCGTCAAACCACCGTTTCTGTGCTCCGTTATAACAAACGTTTAAAATACCAGCACTCAACAAGTAATCTCTTGCAGTATTTGAGAACAAAGATTTCTGCTTGAGCCAGTCTTTGTTGGATACATTAAAAATCAGTTCAGATCAAGCGAAAGGTAAATCAACGGTATTTAGTTTCAGGGTGCTTTTCATTATACTGTCAAACACTAAAGCCTGTTGGCAAAAACCGGCCCTTTTAGTGGACGGACATTGCACAATGCTGCACTCTCTCTCAATACCGAGCAATTTCCAAAAGGACCATTCTTCATTAGTCACTAAAACACAGGTTGAAAGACACCAAAGTTACCCTTCTAACAAGACGTGTGAGTGCTTAATCATTATCGCTATATACAGTATGTCTACTCAAGCTCACTTTTGGTACCAGGTCCTTTGCTCTAGTTGGTTTGCCACTGGGGAATGTACCCATCTCAATGTAGGCATTGTACTTCACCTTCTAGTATTAACCCAGCTCGCTACCACATACTAATATCAACTTTTTGACAAAGAGGAATGACTCGAGTTGAGAAGACCCGTGCCGTACCATGCATTGGAAATGCGAAGAGACTTAAACTCTTATTTTACCAACTGGAATAATAGTTGAGTGATAAGCCATCTTAAAGATGGTGTATGTTGGCAGAGCTGTAGATCACAGTAATTACAATCCCCCCCAGGTCTTTCAGCCTTATCCACTGAACATGTCCAAAAACATTTCACATCAAGGCTAAGCACTGAACTGTTTGCACTGCCTGCTCCGTTTTACAAGAAGAGGATGTACAATCAAGTACAGATAGATAGAACGGAAGTGGGGGAGGATGCCGGAATGAGAGGAAGAGCAACATAACCTTCCTAAAGCTTTCCGACGTAAAAAACCCTTTCATCAGGACAGTTGCTGTTAAAGTCTGGAACTCTTTATTTTTAGCAAAGAAAATGCTTTCTAGATGAAAGAGAGACTGTAAAGAAAACAGTCTGCAAACAAATGTTACTTCTGCTTTCTTTGCTGGGGCCATTTTCCTCAAGTCCAAATTGTCCAGCTAACAGACACAGACCAGAGGAAGCGATGAGGAGATGGAATGATGGAGTCATGGTAGAGAAAAGTGCCTCATGTTCCATGTTTTCCAAACACTGAGCTCTAACATCACAGCTGACCCAGCATCCCCCCCCACCCTACAGACTTCCTGCCAAAGGGTCAAATCTCTTCCTGATAGTTGCAATTATGTTACTGTAGGAATATGTCACTCATTGCTGTAACATTTTTAGCTTTTAATTTAAACATTTTGATATCATCGCTGGTAATTGCACATTGTTTAGGGTTGGGTTAGGGTTCAACCTCTGATCCTATAAATAGACTATAATAAAGCATGTAGCAAAAGTAGACACTCAAAACCTCAATGCATTCTATTACTATTAGGCAAATAGATTAACATTGTGTTATGATCAGAACTGAAGTTGGTCAAAAAGATTTTACTCTGGAAAAAGTGAAAAAACACATGTTATTTGGTGTAGACATTGTTGTCTTCAAGGGACTTGTGTCCTGTGTTTCTCCACCACTGCTAAGTGTTAAACGTGTTTTGAGTACAATGCTGTCAGACTTATATTATAACAAGGCAAAAACTACCAAACGCTTATGGTTACAGATTGCTTCCTGTGCCTTAACCATCTTCTTAATCACTTTAAAAATGGTGGGAATCATCATATAAATGTAGTTTGGGGATATGTTTGACATAAAATAGTGATTAATATAAGTGAGTTAGTTGTTGCCTTGGGCTCAGGCACCCTGCAGACTCTGCACTTCACCAGAACTTCAATGTTGTCAGTGAGTCATCGGGATAACACGATCCAACTGTATAGGTTTAACATTACAGAGACTGTGAGTGTCCTTCCTGAGTCATCGCTTTATCACTGACAGCTCTTGTAATTGCCGAGATAGGCTAGCATGCTAAAACCATAAGCATGATAGCTACGTTAGCCAAATTGGACAAACGCCAAATGACAAACGCCAGTGTGTTTGTGTGTGCACGCATGTGTGCGTGTGTGCGCATGCGTGTGTATGTGCATGCGTAAGCAGCCCTAATTGGGTTGTGGGTTTGGCCCTTGTCATATCTAACAGGAAGAGACCGTTTAGATATCTCTGTTAACGGGAATCTTACATATTGACACCCACGCTGGTGCAGGACATCACAGATTAAGGTGATATCTATAAAAAAAGTTATG